TTAAATTCAATTCAAAAAATCATGTAATTTTTTGTGACAATGGAAAAAAAAATAAAATTTATGAAATTTTAACGCAGACCTTGGCTTCCCAATATATCACAAAATTGTTTTACATTTTCATGAAATCCATAAATATCATAACAAATTATAATCGCATTTTTAGTTTGAGCTTCAGCGAATGAGTCAGGAACCACAGTATAGATATCTAAATTGGAAACATTTTTAATTACACCCTTTGGGGAGTAACTACTAACTACCGGAGGAATTGTTCCACAAGAAGAAGCTATCGACATCTTGGTTAAGACTGGTAAAAAAAATTTTGATTTGTTTTCAATTATATACTTATTGAAAATTTTATGACCGGTTATTGTTGTACAACGAGTACTTAATCTTTTTCCCAATTCAAATGTATTCTTAACGTAGCGTTTTGTAAAAGAGGAAAGGTAGGGTGTCACGAAAACGGTTGCATGGTTTACCCATTTTCTACTTGTGATCATATTTTAAAACGTTTAAGCTATTCTGAATAATGGTTCTGTTTACACACAATGGACATTTAAAAAATTCTGTGCCAAGATTGTCGATCTTTATTTAAATGTTACACAACTCTTTTTTTTTGAAATCCAAACTGCGTAAGCTAAATTTTAACGTTAAAGATACTGTACCTCAAAAAATACCTGATCAAATCCTGCATTTAAACACACTTTCTAATTATAGAAATCTATATAACTCAAAAAATTACCCTTGAATATCGCAAATCGAAATGGTCGAAATAATTCTACGTATTCGAATTTGGCAAATGATCAGATTATTTCTAATTCTATTCATGATTAGAAAATTAGTTTACACGTAGCGGTGATTGTGTATGTACACTTAGGGATGTTATAGTCCGGTCCAGTCCTGTCTAGTCCATAAAAGACCGTTTGCATATTTTAACTGTTAATTTGAGGACCGGACCAGACCTGACTAAAGACCATAATTAGGACCGTTATCATAAAAAGGGTATTACAAGACGATCCTAATTTATATGTATGTATTTTTATTTTAAAAATACAATGCGACCAATTCGACTTATACAGTACATACGTATATATATATATATTTTTTTTATGTCTCTAACTTTATTGAAATTTAATTAAACT